GGTTGTTCTGGAGTATTCTGTTCATGTAAAACATATGCAAAATTACTTATATGTCTTTAAGGCCCATTTTGGAGAAGAAAATAATACACTGAGATTTTCTTTCACTGACAAATGTGGTTGTACACTAAACATATTTAAATTTACGTCTGAAAAAAGGAGCTGAAAACATAGCATATTTTAATATTCCAGATTTTTATTAATATGAACTAGTTTAAAATATTTTACATATAAAAGCACAAAAAAGATCTCCTAAATGGAAATTAGGAACAAAACCATCCCATGCACACCTTCAATCCACTGCAGTTTTTGAATCTGAACATGTCTATCTGCCAGTGTCAGCCTTTAATAGTTTTCATCACTGACTCTAATTTCTCATGAATAGTCTGCAACCAGAAATCCTAACTCTTGGTTAGAACGGAATCACAAATCTATCTATCATTCACTCTGAAAATGAGAAAATAAACTGGAAAAACTCTTGCATGGTACTTAAGAGTCCTTATCACCAAGAATTGCAGACAAATGGCAGGGAAAGCAGGATGAATTATGAGAGGCAGGACACAACTTTAAGTGAAAAGGTTGAAAAGCTACGGAAACTACTGCCCTTCTCTCTTGAGTAGCACACATTCTTCTAGTTCCACATAATATTTCAAAACTTAATCCCTTTGGTCACCTCATTGCTTGGCCTCCCCCTGAATTCTCTTAATCCTTTCTGCACAGAGCAATGATACCTTCAACTCCTGACGAAAGTACATCTGTGGGCTTTCCAATGTCATGGAAACCAGACACAAATTTCAACTACAAGTCATTCTCTTTCATTCTCTTCTAACATTAGAGGCATGCAGTCACATCTTTATAACCTAAACCTCCATCTCACCTAAAAAGAAACTAAAATTTCTTGGCTCAAAGAGCAAACATATTCTTTCTGACACAGCAATGTACAGAGTCAAAAAATCCTTGCAAAGAGTTCTCCCAAACATCTCAACTGCAAGGACAGACTAGCAAAAGCAGCATGCTGGCACTAGAAATACCTGGAATGATTTGTAACAGAGACTCCTGTAAGAAACAACTGAATCTTCCACATCCTAAATTGTCCCACCACTATGCCATAACCCACAGATTTTTTTTTTTTTATGACAGAAATAGGGAAAAAGAAAGGCTATTTTTTGTCTTGAAGATGAACTCTCTTGAGCCAAAGCAGAATTCATGTCAGAGAACTCAAACACTGTCATTCTCTGTATATGATCCAAGCAAAACTCTTCTGCCTGAGAGGGAGAAAAGCTACTACTGCCCTCTCTCAAAACATCACCCTGAAACATTATTTTCTTTTTTATTTACTAACACAGAACTTCATTAAATATGAAGAAAAACGTGGCACAGATTCTCAGTTGCAGCAAATTGCCATCTTTTCACTAGAGTCACTGGATTTCCTGTTTCATTGAAAGGAGAACATGAACATTCCCAGAATTCCAAATGCATTAAAATAATTTCAACTTTCTGTAAATCAAGGTACACTTTGTTGCAGGTGTTGGGAGGGAAGGGTTAAACCCACAAGTGTCGCTATAGGACATGAAACAACACGACGGGGACATGCTGCTGCTTTCAAGGTAGAAAAGGGAAGTTTATTTTCTGCATCTAATATTTATAGATTTCCAAAGGTGATAATGGATTGGAGGGTGAAAGTGCCACCTCTCCAATGACACTGGACAAACTAACAGTCCATCAAATTTCTTCTCTTCTATAGAAGAATGCAAAACAATGAGTTGTTTACAGAAAGTGTGTGAGAAAGTTTGCTATAAGAGTGCAAACATCAGAAGGCTTAGAAAATCTTAAAAAATCAAGGCAACACATAAGATTTGTTAAGGAGGAAATAATTTCACTCCAAGTGACCTTGCAGCTGAGAACACTAAGAATTTTGGTGCGGGGAAACTCCAGTTATTACGTCTGCTGTTGTTCATCCTCTGCCTGTTTTGAGAAGCAGAACTCCTGTGTGGACACAACTGTCACAGACATGCTTGAGCCCTCTTTCTGCTGGGAGAAGGAGTGAGCATAGAAGCACAGCCTTGTAAGAAACTGCTCCTGCAGGAAACCTTTGACATATTGGGGCCAGCAGCAGCTTCACCCCACCCTTGCTGTGCACTAGGATGAGCTGAGCCTAACAGAGCCTGTACCTTTGTGTGTCTCTCTTCACTAGGATGAGCTGAGCCTAACAGAGCCTGTACTCCTGTGTCTCTCTTCACTAGGATAAACTGAGCCTACCTAACAGAGCTGGGTCTCTGTGTGTCTCCACTGCCCGGTGTTGTCAGAGAGGTGATGAAATAAATCTGCTCTTTGCATTTCAGCTGAGGCTTCCTGGTTGCCCTGGTTACCTGTAAGTATTGATTCATACAGTAGGTCACTCATTACTCAGCGGTGTGTCACAGGCTCGTGGTACACCCTGAGGAACAAGCTGGAAAACATTGCTACCTATTTTTGTTGCCATATCTTGTACTCTTCAAGAAATTTATTCCCCTTCTTTTGTGAGAAAATAGAAAACTAAGTCATTTCAAGCGATGCCGTTGTTGGTTCACAGGTTCATACTAAAATTGCCAGCTTTATCAACATGTGCATTCATCAAGAAATAACAAGGCATGCTACCAAATACAGGTGTACAAACGCTTTTGAAAGAGAAAAATGTTCTGTCCCCATTGTTATAATCCAGAGACCAGGCTTGCTGGTCTCCTTAACTTGAACAGCACCATGGCATTTAAAGCCTCAGAGAGTGTGACCCTATAGGCCATAAAAAGCTTTCATCTTCCACAACCTTCAGCATGTCACCCAACCCATGGATTCTCTTCCAGCATTTAGTGCTCTTCTTGGCAGCAGCCCACCTCTATCTTGGAGGAAGAATCAGCATATATGCCACAGTACTTGCTTCTTAATGGAAAGAGCCTTGGACAGGTGGGCAAGTAGGAAACCACGGCATAGTCCAACATGTGAAATTTTGGGAGACCAGGACTGGTAGAACTTTTTGGAACTTACTGAATTCCAAGTTTCAATTTCATCAAGAAGAAAAACAGGAAGCTAACTCAGACTAGAGACTTTTGGTGTGAAACAAAGGCAAGTCCTTACAAAAGAATTCCTGCAGAAATAACTCAGAAGCTCCTCTGGGCAGAGACCTCCATTTTCCTTTACTTTGAAAAGATAATAGGTGAAAAACGCACAAAAAGAAACCCAGGCAGGAGAAGGCCTGTGCTCCTCATCACATAATACACTATTTTTTTCTAGCAATGCAATCTTATAACATACCTGTTGGGAAATCAGCTATTCCTGGAGCAGTATCTGAATTTCCAATATGGAAATACATGAAATGCATGACGGAAGTTGTCAGAAACAGCTGAACAGCCCCTGAATAATTGTAACATTTTCCACAGAGAAGAAAAGTCTGCAAATCTGCACTGGCATAAAGAGTATGTCAGAAGCACCAAGAAGAATAAAAAGAAACTAATTACCTCCCTGACACTCTGATGCTCTTTACTTGATCTATACATAACCTAACATTTAAACCATCAGACTGACTTTCGAAGCAGACATTTGAAGCTGGAAATTCATGTAAGCTGGGATCTTTCTCCAACTCAAGCTTGCTGATTTGATTTTTAAACACATTTTCTTCCTATCTAAACATATCTGCATTTAGAGAAACATAGTAGTAGTATTCTTTTAGTTCTTACACACAGATGATTATGTTAGAGCAGTGGGAATGCTCGGAACATGGGGACTGAAAGGTGATGGATTAAAAGCCCTCAAGGATCCTGTGACTCTGCAGATCTGGTCTTGAATTGATTCAAGACACTTTTGCAGAACCTGAGTTCTGTCCAGAGGTCAAACTGGAGAATATTCCAAATACAAGAAAACAAACCACAAAAGCTCCCTTCCTAGCTATTACATCTATTCTTCACAGGCACTCAGAAAACAAAAGAATAGAGTAAAAAAGAGCTCAGCAGCATGCTAAAACATGAGGTAGTACCTTTGAGAGGCTTTGATTTTAAAATTGATAAACCTCTACTACAAAATGAAAAAGCACAGGACTGATTACAGCAGACAATTCGAAGTCTCAGAATCTTCATTTTTTTCTTTCAAAAGATATTGGATATTGTCAATTGAAAATATTTTGCAATTTGTCAAGGTAAAATACCATCTCACCTGTTTAAATCTTCACAAATTCAGATAGTAATCATATCTGCACTGATTGTTGAGCTGATTATTACTGATGATCTTTCTCCTCAAAAGCACTCAGGAATCAAAACCACGTGCCCTGAGCTACAATCTGTCATTTCTCATAAAAATAAAAACGAGTGTGTTTAGAGAACATTAGAGAGATCTTAAGGGAGAAGAAACACTGCATGTTCCACTGTTCTGGAAATATGTGACAGGCAGAAACTTATGATGCCTTAACCTGTGGCTAAAGCTGATTTACAACCAGTGGAGCTTCAATTTCATTCCAAATGAATCGTAAGTGTTTGACACACAGAGAGGAAAAAAACTGAAAGCTCAGAACAAAAGAACTTTCTGCCAGTTTCACTGCTGTCTCTTCACTGCTCTGTCAGGCAAAGGTCCAGAGCCCTTGCCACAGAGACAGCCTGAATTTTGGCCTGTAAAACACGTAGATGGTTCCTGCGCTGCTCAACTGACTCAAGGTAGAAACAGCTGAGCTTAAGAGCCAGTGTGAAGAAGGGGCCAGGACTTAGGAACCCCTGGCTTGATTCTTTTTTTGTTTCACTGTGCCCTTAGCTGTTTTATTTCTTTCTGCTTCTCCAAGCTTAAAGAAGTTGGCCTTATGGGACAGATGACTGTATTTAAACAGAGGATGTTTTCTTTCTTAAGTTTTCTTCACAAATAAGGCCTCAAATAGCCTGTGACAAAGGAAGGTCAGCAAATACACAGCCATAAAGCTTTCTGAAATTTCTCATTTTAAAAGGTGTATGTCATGTTACACCTTCTTAGAAAACGGGAAGGATACTTACTGTCAGTCCTTGTTCTCCTGGTTTTCCTGGCTCACCCTTCAAATAAAAAAAAGGAATGAATAATTTCAGCAACACATCTTCAATCCTGTTTTCTATCTAGCAATAAATTATCTTAAAAAATTATTCTTAAACAGGTATGGCAGCTAACTGCACATTAAACATAATAATTTTTTTGCTTTTTAACCTGGTAGTTCAAATCACAGATATCTTAAGAAATACTACTTCACAATCACGTAATGGTATAGTTCTCAAGGCAACAGTTAAGTATTGGTGTTCTGACTCTGTCCCTTGGCTCCAAACATAATATTCCATTCCACTGTGCTAAAGGACACAGAAAAAGGTTATTTTCACGTATGTGCTGTATCCCACAGTTTATATGTTCCAAGATTACTGGTCTGTATCATCACCTCAGTCACCCCGCAGAACTTACTGTTGTCAATTACCACGTTCCATAAAACCATGAATATTGGTATTTTGAAGCCATGAAATAATTACTCAGCTGTTAAATACCTGGACTGGCTTTCAAAATGGTAACCTATCATTTCCCTAATGTATTCTCTTTCTGTGGGCACAACTCTACATACAGTCAGAATTTATCTGCCCCCCTTTCTTTCCATATGAACACATATACAGTATGTCATACACATCAGTCATACAATGCAGGCTAAAAATACCCATCCAAAAAAAACAGAGCTCCTATCATTTTAGCGGTCTGGTTTATACATCACACCCTTGAAAACCCTACAGTGCACAGGGCAGTCCATGCACTATTGTATCAGCACAGCTGCAGGGTCTTCTATCATAAAAGAAAGCCTGTCATAAAATTGATGAGAGCTGTTCTGATGTCGTTGTTCCTGGCAACTGAAAAGAAGCAGAGCTGCTTCTCTGGCTATGTGTGCACTGCACTCAGAAGCAAACACGCATCATCTGCAAGCACACCAAGGACAGCTGGGAGCAAGAAGCCATGGAGGCACACACATTTCTGGCCAGCCACTGCCCCAAAACACCATCTTACAGCTGCAAACCTTCTTGCTTGAGAAGGACAGGCTGGAAGAGAAGCCCTGCTTTGTCCGACCCTGCAAAAGAGGCAATGTCTGCCTAAAAGTCATTGGCACCTCTGTGGACACCCTCCTACAGCTGTGTGATGCTGCAACACCCCAGCTCATAGCACAGGGCAGCTGCTGTTTGCAGCTCACAAGGTCCACACAAGTCTTTAACTCAAAGACAAAGCTGTCCTTCCCTCTCAGCAAAGTTCTCCCTTACAGCTCTCCTATTTGACTGTGTTTCACACAGCCATGAAGGAACAAGCTTTAACCTGAGGGTACAGAACAGTAGCGAGGGGGAGCAAACTGGATGGTTTTTACCTGAGTGCTTGTTTGTATCTGATTCTAAAGCAGTATTATGAACTGATTTTCCATAATGTTATGGGGCTTAAGATAGCCACAGCTTAAAAACTATAAAAAGAAACTCTCTCTTGCCATCTAAAGACAAAGTCACTACAGAACTATTATAAAATGGAATGACCTCATTGCATAAAATGCATGACTTTCCTGTTATGAGAAACACTAATGATCCCTTTGCTAAAAAACACAAAGCAATACACAGCCACACTGTAACTAGCAAGGCCAGCTGATTCTGCCAGCCCCATCTATGTATGTGGAATATTAAAACACTATCACTGCAGTCAGAAATGGATTCTGGTTTCAGTCTTGCCCTTACTAGATCAAACCAGCACCAACTTTGCTGACCACAATCCATTTAAGCGCAATAAAAAAACGCAAAGGAGACCCAGAAGAGGCCCAGAGCCTGATGTGCCACAGGACTAACAAGAAATGAGAAGGTTGCCAAAGTAAAGCATCATGAGAGCTACAGATTTCTAATGTCACTTCATAACCTTGAGCTAGAACTTATGAGGGCAGGAGTGGTAAAATAGCCAAGCCAAAACAGCAGCAGCAGCTCTAGAGTCCTAGATGTCTCAACCAGTCAGCTTTGCTGGATTTCACAGGAAATTTTAGCAGCATCTTACTATTACCATGCTATATTACATTTAGACAGTTAATACCTGAATAGGGTTAGAAAAGGAGTGTAGGTATTTTCTTTCTCAGTTTTAGCTAAAAAGGCCCTGCAGGAAAAATTTATGCTGTCCTGGCCTCATGTAACAAGTGATGCTTTTTCTTCAAGAAACCAGTTTCTGTTTCCAGTGCTGGTCCTCACCTTGCTGGTTCCTCATGTGCCTTCTTGGCCACAATCTTCACTTTTCAAGGATGCGAATGTGTGTGTGCATCTGTACATGTGCCATTTCATTTTTCATGTCTCTCTCCTGCCTGTGATTCCTTTTCCACACTGATAACACAGTGCCATTCATGGTGAAAAGAGAGATACTTCTTTCAAGGGAATAAAAATTAAGGAGGCCACAAAATATGAAACTAAAATCAAACACATACTTTTCTAAAAAGTCATATGTTTAGGCATCTGTTTAAAAAGTGTGGGATTCATCCTGTGCCTAAAACAAACAATACGCAATGTACTGGATTCTGCTGCTTATCCTAATGAAGTATGGGGCTGAGCCAAAGAAAATGGTACTGTTCTTCTTGTTTAAAGATGGCAGAATCTAACTCCAAACTTCATCATACCCTGGGCAGCTTTAGCAGTTTATTACCTTATTCCATGACTTTTGAGGTTAAACCATTAAGAAGTGAGAAGTCAAGCACATACATCCATGCTATGAGGTCTCAAATTCAGTTTTATCTTGAAGTTTGAATAGAAACATTTACTACTCATGGAAAGGGGCAGACTCTCCTCACACAGCTATTAAACATCACTGAGAAACCTTAGAAAGTGTAGGGAAAGTGCCAGGTGTGGGAGGCAAGGAACCTTGGCGTTACTTCTGGCCCTGCTATACACTTGTTCTGTGTGTGTGGGACTTCAGCTACACCTTGAGACCTGCCTGTGGTTCAGCTTCCACATGTCTTACTCGCCAATCTGACCTGAGAAAATGTCTTTGACACTCCGCTGGCGTACACTTGAGAGAAATGTGCACACCAAAGCAGCGACAGAGTAACTCACCGTTAAGCCAGGCATCCCACGAGGACCATCTTTGCCGGTATCTCCTGGGGGGCCTCTGGGTCCTGGTGGCCCTGGAGGTCCAGGGGGTCCAGCTTGTCCTTGGTCCCCCTAAACCAATAAAAAACTCGTCACAAATTTGCTTTAGAGGCATCAACCGCACAAAAACACATCAATTCACCCACAAAGAGTGCAAGACAAGTTGGAAGAAGCTGCCATGAAGTGGGCAGTGGCTTCTTCACTGCTTATGGCAGAAACAGCACTTTGCCTTGAAGACCAACAGTTTGTATAGGTCCAATGCAATCAGCCACAGAGCAGAAGTTTCTAAACTGCTTGTTTTACCACAGCACATATGACAAAAATTTGGGTTGGTCTTGAAATATTTTACTCATCTAGTTCTCCGAGCAAGTGACTGTTTTTGATAAGCATCTGTTTGCTTCATGATTTGCATAATCATAACAAAGCTGAGGCGAAGAAGAAAAGTCACATCTGAGAATATACAGATTTGCACAGCAATTTTCCAAGCCCATGAATGATACATGGATAGATTTCAAAACTGAGCATGGAAAATAACTCCTTCTTGATGGAGTTGTACATAATTTGCCATCTGTTTTGGGAGGCTGTTTTATAGTGACAATTAGCTAACTCTCTTAATTTTTATCTATTAATTTGTTAAAGTAGATTTTCAAGAGAGTTGCCAAAACATATTACCTTCCCCTCTAAAAAAGAAAAGATACCCCCAAATGGTGCTTTAGTTATTTTCAGCACATCACTGCAAACCACTGGAAAAAAGCTGCTGGCATCTCAAACATGGCTCACTTAGCAAAGCCACCCACAGTATTTTAACTGTTAATGTCATTAATAGTTGCTAATAGTTGTTAATAGTTGCTTCATTTCAAAGCATTTTCAAGTGAACAACCTGCTAGAAGAAGGCATCTGACAAAAAGGTACAGCAAAGAGTAAACTGAATGTAAAGAAGAACCAGACTCCAGCGAGATGAAGCACTACCTTAATGAGGCGGCGTTTAATGAGCTGCTGATCAGCAGAGAGAAACCCATGATTGATTTTAGGAAACACCATCTGATCAGGCAGGTGAGGTCAAAGGTTGAAGGTCAGAGATGAGAGAATTGAAGAATAGACATCAGAAGGCCCGAGAAAGAAATAAAGACATATTCATTAGATTTGTAACAGCTATTATAATATGAACTGGTGCTTCTGCCTGAAAGAAACTGTGCATTTTATTTTGGAAAAATAAAGTACAGGACATACTGCTATGATTTAAATCATATACAGTGACCTAAATGCATAACTGTTTTCTCCCCAGATTTTGCATGAGAATTCTGCATGTGCATTAGTTTTTTCATTACCCAGGCTCTAAAAATCAGTATTTTTATATATTGTTGTTTCAGCAAAGCTTCTAGAGACAAAGCACCAGTTCAACTTTCAGTCAGATTTTCTAACCAGCATAGTGTGCCATGAAGAATGGTGTTATTTTTATAAGGTCTGAAGTTCCAGCTTGACCAGATTGATTCCTGCTTAATTTGCAAATCCACTTTGAAAAAATCTGGATATCTCTGATATCTAACACAAATATCTGACTCTATGTGTAACCAGTACAGAGTTCACTGACATGTTCTACACTCATGTATGCCTCAGGGAAGCAGAACAACAGAAAAAACTCATCTGAAAATAAAATACTGACCAAGACCATGCGGAATGTAGGCTTTTCCAGGGGTACACAGTTATAGATTTGATTCCACGCTCTGCATCAGAAGTACTTAGATCAATGCAAAGGCAGTGAGGGTTGGCTTAGATCCACCACAAGAATTCACTGGTATTTCATGTCAAAAACAATTTTTCATGTGCACTTTTATGCTGATACAGAGAGACCTGACTGAACAGGTACATGTCAGCCACAAACCTTGACGGTGAGGATCTGATTACTGTGCAGAGCAGCAACTGTGGGGAAGCCTGGCAGACCCTAGGGACACAGCATAACATGGTACGAGAACAGCACAGCACAAACATCACAGAGACAATTTACTAACAGACAAACAGAACAAACACCACGTTTAGTACACCCCGCACTGCCGACAGACAGGGAACGGCCTCTCTGTCATATGGGAAACAGAGCGAGGTCTGCACTGCACTGCAGACATAAGTTGAGACTTCACAACAAGAATATCAAGAGATTTTAGAAGGAGCAATCCCATGAAGGTGTCTTTACTCAAAATTACAATAAATTGTTATGATAATTTGAAAATTGTTAAGACTACCAGCCAGCAGTCAGTTGAGCCATTTTCAATTGAGATGTACTACTGAACTTTGAGATCTGTGTGGAAAGCCTTGACTCTGGATTGCTGCAGAAGCTGACAGCAAAGACAGTATACTCTGAAGAGCTTTACATAATTAATATCCTGCTCTTCACATTCTGTTTAACATATGACATTCAGCACATAAATTGGCAGCACATACACAACTATCAACACTGAACATAAATCTACTGCTAGATCTTGGGTCGTCCATAATGACTATGGTCAAACTTTTCAAGACATACAGAGCAGAATTTTTATATCCATTTTTACCCCCTCAGTTGCTATATGCCACATATGGTTTCTCATATTCTACTCTACCAATATGTGCAGATCTTGTACTGTACTGGCACAAAAAGGGAAGAGTGTGGTGATTGTGGCCTGCTGTCACACTATAAGGGGGTGAATTTTGCTCTGAGTTCAACACCTTTCTTGAGCTGCCTTGTAGGGTGTGAATTAAACCTTTTGATAAAGCCAAAACCTTATGCAGTTGAGCAGTGAATTCCTAAAGAGGAGGAAATGCCTAAGTCCTCTCCTCGCCTTTAGCATGGCACACACTGTAAGAAGCAGAGGCTTGTTCAATGGCAGAGAGACATTAGGCTGAGAAACATTCAATAAAATACATCCAGGGAGCTCTAAGCCCTCTGTATGGCCACAGACCACCTTTATGAGGTAGAGTTGGCAGCACAGCCCCTCTGGGAGCTCCTCCTGGAGCAAAGAGCTGCACCATGCCAGCTTAGCACCTCCTAAAGGGAAGGCTGCACCCGGCTCCTGCTGCCGGGCAAGGGCCATTCTGAGGAGTCCTGTGTGAAGGCTCTGCTGGTGCAGCCCATGCTGCTGGAGCACATGAGCTCTCTGCAGCCCAGCTGGCCTGCTGGGGATCACCAAAAGCCAGGGCAGCCTGCCAGGTCTCTCAGGTGCAGCAGATTCTTTTAATGTGGCAAATACTTGCTCTGTTCATCACACCAGAGAGCCTGTGGATCACAAAGACTGCACCAGTCTTTACAAAAAAGACAGAGTTACTTTTTGATGCATACATGTACTTCAGTAGCATCTTGGAGCTGCATTTAGCATTTTTATTCCTGCTCTACACCCGTGAGATGAAGCTGTAAGTTGATTCTATAAAGCCAGTGGCTAAATGCAGCTTTCCCACTTCACTGGGATGAACCACAATGTGGATAACTGCATTGCTCAGTGACCTGAAATCTCCTCTTTAGAAACAAATAAACAGAAAACAAAACCAAAAAAGGCTAAAACTCACAACATATAAAGGGACTCACTCCTGAGACACTGATAGACTGGAATGATACATCACTTAGGAAACAGATGTATCAAGTTTTCATTTATCTTATTATGGAATATAAATTACAGAAGCTATTAGAGAGTAATGTGTCAGAATCTTTACATCTGTGACTCATTAGCCCTGCTGTGCACATGATCCATTTCTCCTCTAGATAAAACTGCAACACCCATGTAATGGAAACAAGCACAAACAAGAAACCTACATAACAAGATAAATCTGAATAGCAAGCAATAAATGACATTTATTGAAAAAATGGATAAACAGAAAATTTTTAAACAACTTCATTTTTACTCATCAGTCTTTAGAATTACAGCACAGTAATTTTCAGTTACCTCTAAATTAGCATGTTTGCAACTTAATGTTTTAAACTCGTATTAATTTTGATTTATTTCATCTTCAACATGAAGGAGAACTGAGAATTAATTAAGAAAGGTGTTTATTCAGAAATTCAGTGGTTTGTCATGAAAGGTTTTCTTTCTCCTTGAGACGAAATGAAAGACTTTGCAAAGATTTGTGTAGCTGTGCACAGAACCATTTACATTCAGCACTTCACGGTCCAGCCCCAGCATTCCCAAAGCTTCCCAACACCACACAGGCAAATTCAAGATTAGCTGTCACTACTGCAAGTTTCTGCCTACAACATGAACAACACATGAGAAAAGGGTCCATCCCATTCTTCCATCCGCAGCTTAGTTACTTCTTCCAGCTTGTCCCCGAGTAGAACAAAGCTTTCCTTCCTTTGCCCAAAGTGGTCATAATCTTAGACCCAACAGTCAGACACATGCAATGCCAGTTTGGACCTGGATCATCTCCCCATGAGGAACACGTATCTTTGGAGAGAGCCAGAAACATGGGAACGCCAAATGGAACCCAGCAAAGACACTACAATAGGTCCACAGTCTTTGCATGTGTGGGAGGCTTTAGAAGGCATTGCACCCTCTGGCATCCATGAAGGATAATGCTGGCACACAATGAGCTTCTAAAAAGGCATAAAAAGAGCTATCCTTCCCACAAAAAGAGTTCTCTTCCTTTCCTGTCACTCTGCTATAAATATAGCCACAAATATCCCCTGGATCTGTTTTATTTTTTTTTCCCTATCGAAAGCTGTTCTGAACAACGAATTCAAAGTTACTCAATTTTCTCTTTATTTGGTTTGATTCTTGAACTGCACATAGGAAGGGTTCTTGTTCCACACCCTGGGAGGCCCTAACAGAATACAAAACACTACAGTCATCAACAGCGACCACTGGTCTACTAAATTCCTCTGCTGACAGCTACTCAAGCTCACCCTGAAATGCTAGCTGGTTACAATTTCTAAATTAGCACAGTTGCTGCATGCCTCACTGCCATTTTTGCCCAAATGCCAAGCAAAACACAATGCCTGATGGAGGCCAACAGTCATGGAACAGCATTACCCACCTGAAAGTGCAGGTAAAGCCTATTTGCCCCATACAATAGCTATTGAGAAAAACAAGGGATGCTAGAACATCGTAACATTCCCCCTGTCTGATTTTTTAATTAGATGAAATAGTTCTCCTATGACATTCATCACAGCCTTGAAGGATGTAATTCCCACTAGCTATCCTAGATTTTTCACAGTACTCTCAGCTTTGTCCATTGGTCCACATGAGGTCAATATTGTAAGGTCATCATAACCTTGTCAGAGGCAAGTATGATAACATTAGGCAGCAGTGTTACTGGTTTTACACTGTGCTCCACACACTCCAGTTTGACTGCTGAATTTTCTCAGTATAGTAAATGTCACAGTCCTCTCTAGGATTTTCCTTCTGACCTGCCAATAAAACCAAGCTGCACAAGCCTGCATGTTCCTGTGAAGACATGGTAAATGAGACAGGAATTACCACCTGCTGTTCTCTTGCACTTCCTAAGGTTACAGCCAGCTGCTGCTATTTCACATCAAATCACAGAGGCTTCAGGCCAGAGTGATCCTGACACTCTTTATGGCTGCTCTGCCTCTCTCCAACACCACCTCCAGTACTAATTAATCCCTCAGACTGAGTGCCAGTCCTGTGGCTAATTATTGTACCTGCCCTGGGGAATACAGTGTTTGGTATCACCCTGTACAGTGCCACAGACTCTCACAGCAGGAGATCTCTTATATAATCCTTTTTATCATAACTGCTGCTTTCTCCAGCAGCAAATCTGGTAACAAAAACAGTACATCACAACAAGACAAGAATCCAGAAATTTCTTTTCACTTAGGTGAAAAGAGCTCTGATTTGAATACATTATATAATGATGCAGACTTTGTAAAAAAATAGTAAAAATGCAGTGTTTAAGATCTAGCATAAACAGATCATTGTAAAAGCATTATTTCCTATAATGACCTCTGTGAGATGACCTGACACTGCATTCAAACTGAATAAAACTGGATAAAGCAAACACTTCTCTACTTTTGTCCTATTATTATATGAATTTTCAGTGAGGCAAAATGTCTTTTCTAC